CTGCTAATTACTTTGTAGAAGCCCCAGGAGCTCCAGAAATAAAAGTTAATAGGCTAAAAGGATGTTGCAGTTAAGTCCAACTGAATATTTTAAATTGCTACAATAAATTCAGAAATAAATTTTAACATCTGAAATCCATGGAGTCCTTCCTGTGTAAAGCCTATGGTAATATACGAATGGTGTGATAGGAGTGGTGGGAAATGTGCCCTCATCCAGGCCCAATGAAATCAGGGGCCTTTGAATGGAGGGTGTCCTGGCTCTGAAATGCTTTGCTCAGAGCTCCCAGGAGCAGTGTGACTCTGGGCCCTGCTCCCAGGAGGAAAGGTGACCTTGTTGGCTGCCTCCTGGCCAGCCTGCTCTCAGCTCATTCGTACAGTGACAAGATGCTCCAGGGGAACAGCAGCAAGAGTGCTGTGACACTGCTCTTGTGGAGATCCCAAAGTAACTAGCAGAGAAAAATTAACATTTTTTGTTCATGCACACCAGCTCACACCGTGAGACTCTGTGGCTGTCCTCTAGGTGCTACTGCAGCATAAAAATATAGAGCTGTGTGTTTTACTAATAACTAGGCATTGTTTCAGTTATTGTATAGTAGCACTATATAGTGTTGTTAATTATCTTTACTGCCACTGAAGCTGTAGCAATACAGGCAGAAATGCCAGGCAAGAATTACTTCTATATGGTGCAAGATTGCACTGATTGCTTAATTTGTTTCTGTATCTCCTGCACTGTGCTGAGGCTTGCCCAGAGGAGCACTATGTTTGTCATCAGAACAGCCTAAACCTTCTGGTACAGAAGTGCTTTCTAAGAGCTGGTCAGCATTTGCTGATACCTAACACAGGGACTGTATAAAGAGCCTTATTAGATCTGCACCAGGTCTGTTAGATTGGTTCTGGTTTGAATAACAAACTCAAATCAGCGCTAATAAGGAGAGGAAACCTGCCAGCTTCTCTTCTGGCCAAGCTGGTGCCAATGCCAGCCTCATCCACCATGTGTTTAAAAAGTGACACGAGGATGGCCAGTTATCCTGGCTTTGCTCTTCTGCTAAGCACAGTCACTCCTACCCAAATGGCTGGAAGTGTCTTTGAAACTCCAGGATGACTGGGGCAAGTGGCTTACTGAGATTTATTCTGCAAGCAAATAAATGAGGTAGAAACTTATCCTCTAGCACTGTACTTAATCCATGTCCAACAGATCACTTCCTCCAGTAAAGGGAAACGAACATGGCCATTAACCCAGCATCCCAGTAACTCTTTCCCAGCCCTTCCTTAGCTTGCTAGATAGCCTCTGGCAATTCCCATTCTCCTTCTGCTCTGTTTTCTGATATATAAAATTGGAGACAAACACTGTTTTGCTGGGCAAGGTGCTCTGATCTCCCATAACCTGTAGCAGGGAGCATAAAAATGTGTTAAATCCATGTACCTGCCAGGGACCTGGACACAAGTCTGAGATCAGCCTCTAAGGTGCTATTACAGCAGTGGTGGCATCTTCAGAATAACTTAGTTCTGAAATTTTATATATATACACATATATATTTTCTGAAGTTATATACTGCTAGGTGTTGCAGGGAGTGGAACAGTCCCAGGCAGACTCCTGGTATTTACTGCAGTCAGTGCTCTTAAGGCCTGCATTCTCCTGGTGTTTCTCATTCCTTTCTAGGAGATGGTGTTTGGAGGCTTTTTCTTTGATGTTGACCATATGGACAGAAAGGGTTTGCCACAGTGGCTTTTTGGGGCTGTGGTACTGAGATGTCTGCATGAATAAAATAGCAGCTGAAGTTTTTTCCAGCCTGTCCTTTTGAAAAGGGAAGTTCCAACAGATTTTTCACCTCAGTGGTCACTTGGCCAGATGTGTGGCTGTCCCAGCTGTGGTCCTTGGGACACAGAGCTGCTTGCCCAGTGAGCACCTCAGGTGAGCGTGTTGCTGCTGCTTCTCTGTCTGCAGGAGCCCTGGCCCTCCAGCCCCTGCCACCTTGCCTGGGCTTTGTACAATGTCATCAGACCGGTCCTAACCATCAACAATATCTTTGCCCGTTTAAGCACATTTCACTGCCACAGCACGAATCTCAAGAGCGTTAGTGGTGCAGATTTCCATCACTTTTCCACAGAGATGTTGTGCCCTCCACTCCTAACCTGGTCCTCAATAGCTCACTGCATTTCATCGGTGCCTTTTCACACAATTCTCTTTTCCCACTTCTAGTGGCTGCATTTCCTATAGAGTATTAAACAAACCAAGCAGAAGGCAACCCTGAGATTACTCCAGAGTACCCGATGAAACACACGTTAGTATTTATAAGAGCGCTGCTTTTTTTTTAACTCTGTTTGTTTTCCCTACAAAGCAGAGAGCTGTAACTTGCCTTGCTCTCATGTGTATGCTAACACAAGGCAGTACATTTGTTTATTGCTACACAGGTTTGTTCTTGTAGAGCTGTGAGGCTATCAAATGGAGCTTGCTGTTCACAAATGGTAATTCATCCTTCGCCTCTGTCATACCTGACACCCCTGAGAAGAAATCATTATTCTCTGAAGATTTCAAATGACATTTTCAGTGTCGATGGATTGTACTTATATAAGAGAAATGTTTGCAAAGGGAGGAAAAGATAATAAAAAAATACTTCTGGTTTTCCATTTGGAACTCTTAGAACTGACTACTTTCATGTAACCAGTATAATTTGCTTTGCTAAAATAAATAATGCTAGTGAGAAACCCTGTTTAGTAACTGTAAATGCAGAGGGTAGGCACATTCATGTTGCTGTAAAGCACAGAAAATGTGTTATATTTGACAAAAACATTCAAAACAAATGATTGAGTTCTTACCTGTTTTCACCCCATACAAAAGGTGGATGAACACAACACACAGCCTCAAGCATATGGACTTCCACATGGAACTTCTACAGGTAAGAGATTTGAAGGATCCCACAATTTCTCTGGCATGTGTCTGCTAGCTCTGACAGCAGTTTGCTTGCTTTTTTTTCTGCCAGTAACAGTAGGTGTGGTGAAAAGAGGAAGTTACCAGCCAAGAAATGAAGACCAGTCAAATGAAACTTCTTAAGAAGGTGGGGCACCTTCTATTCTAGCAGGTTTCCTTAATTTAAATATAGTTTGCTTCAAGGGATGACTAATCAAAGACAAATGGGTTGGTGCTGTAAGCAGCAATTTGACTACACCTGTTGAAACTAAGGAAATTATTTATTGCCTGTCTATTTGTCTTTTGCAAAGAATGTCAGGAAGATTGTAGATGTCACTGCAAGTCTGATAAGCATCTGGGCGGGGTTGGCGCTTGGTTTCACAGTGCCCTGCCTTTGGAGAGCTCGTGATGATCCCTAATATCTCCCATGTCCTTCCTGCTCTCCTGAGTGCCATAGCCCAGAGTCCCTTCTACAGATCCTGTCACCACCTCAGGCAGGAGACAGGTGCACAGCACTTGCTGTGACAAAGGGAAAGTACCACTTCAAGGTGTCTGGTTCTCCACTGCTGTCTTGGATGACACTCATGCAACTGGAATTCCCACATTTTCTCACAGACCTGCTGGAACCTCATAAATTCAGCTCTAATTCAAGTAAGGAAGCCTTTTTCTTTCCTTGATGGATGGGAGGAAGGAGATTGCCAAGGAAAGCCAAATGTCAGGGGCAGGAAAGGAAGTCTGTAATTGGAGCTGGAAGGTATAGCGGCAAAATTAGGAAAATGAGGGTGGTGGGGAGTTGTAAGGGGATGAGAAGGGTGGGAACAGGGATGGCTGCTGGATAGAAGTTTGGTGGTAGACTTGCCTGGCATTTTCTTAGCAAATTCTTCTAACATTGGCCAGGGAAAGGGAATGTGGGGTGGATTAGAAATACGTCTTTAAACCCAGGCTCTGCTTTCTTTCCCCTGGTGATGATCCAATGAGGAGCTGAACTATTACAGCTCCCAGTGGCATAGCTGGTTCTTTGGCCCATGCTGTACTTATTAAGCTTTTTGACTTTGCTAATTCTCAAGTTAATTCTTAACTCTTCCTGCTGTCTGCAGCTCCTTTTCCATTCAGACAAGTGTGTGCTGCTCCTCTGGTGCAGGCATGGATCACACTTGAGGCAGAGCATGTGCCTAGCATGATTCTTTCACAAGCACCTTGGGCTCTTCAGCATCAAGCAGCTAAGCAATCTGAGTCTCACTGAACACGTGCTATGCTGTGATCCCATTTGATAATCACCCAGGCAAAAGCTGGGGCTCATTATTTTGAAGGTGATGAATAGACACCAAATAACATCTGTGGATCTGGAAGCTCCAGGACAGTGCTTTTTCTGCTGCACTGGCAAAAGAATATAATTTAAACATTGTTTTCCTTCCAGCTCCTTTCTCACCTCCACCAGTAATCCTAAACTCTGTCAAAATATTTTCCCTTAGCAAGAAGTTCTGCCAATGGTGAGACAGAATTGGTCCAACAGTGAAACATGAAGAACAGAAGGCTTTTACCTGTTGCAAAAGATATCTGAGAACCAGAGATAAAATAAGGAAAATCAAGGGGGCCTTCCTTTTCATCTCAACACAAAAAGAGTTAACGATTTGTTCCCTGAAGCTAAGCCCTACTCATTTCTTTTCCCCATCACTTTTTTTGGATTTTCATTTCCCATTTGAGGTTGCTCATCCGAGTGGCTCTCACTTCAAGAGGCCCTACACTGGGACTGGCAGATTCTTCCTTGGAACTCTCAACCATCCCTCGGCAGACCATGATTTTGAGTAACCACCATTTCAGCATAAATTAGACTGTTCACTGTACACATTGGCAAACATTCCCAGGATGTCAGCACTGGAAATGCTGTCCACTACCACCATCAGATCCTGAGAGCAGGAATTCAAGTGCTTACAGGTTACTCCACACTCTTGATTCTGCTGACCAACCTTTTAAAACTGCCCAACATATCCTACCTCAGCCACACACTTGTTAAAATAGAAACAACTCACAGCTATGTGGGTTTTGTACACTGAATTTTAGACAGTAATCCCACTGTGATCTTTGAAATCAACTGCAATTCGAGACAGTAAAAACTTTTTAATCATGTGCAGAAAACATTTAAGATCAGAATTGGCACCAACTTAAGAACAATTTAACAGAAAACATTAAATAATCTTATAAGCATGAAACATTTTGCGCTTGGCTCTGAGATATCAGAGCCTCTGCTATTTCACATTCAAGAAAGAAGCATTTTAAACTCTTCATTGTGAGCAGTACCACTGCTGGAATCTGAGTTTCCGTAATATTGTTTCGTTCTCAGGGCAGCTTAGGACAGCAGTGGTCAGCTAAAAAATATTTTTACGTTGCATTCATGCATCCACTGTATGAAATTCCACTGATTCACTAATTTCCCGTGGGTGGAACGTTTTCATGGAGATACTGGAGAGCCAAATCTGTCCACTTCATTTCTTGCTCTTTCACAGACTCAGTGGTACCACCGTTGTCTTGCTCCGGTTCAGGGAGCTCATTCTGAGAACAAAACACAGGTACAATGCATTCCACACTTAATACACTTCCTGCAAGGTTGTTATGATTTGTATGGATAGCTACAAAAACCCATAAACGAGACCAGAGGGTGCATCTGAACAATAAATATCATACATACTGATGCACTTAAAAATATTGCTGAGCCCAGTCATGAACAGTATTCTTTTCATTTGAATATGGTGCTTAATCTGAAAGGTAAATTGTTTTCCAGGACCCTGGGGCCTTGCTATACATTCAGACTGCACATGCAGTGAAGGAGAATATACAGCAAATGCAAAGTAAGTAAATAATAACAGTACAGTGCATTTATTTAATTCCTTGTTTGCAATTCACTGTTTCTGCTGTTGCCAAGAATACAAATACTGCAGACAACTGGTTCTGTAAAATGTTATTTTCCTATGGCAGGTGAGAAGTCCTTCCTGTCCATATGCTGGACTCAGGTGTAGCTGTGCTGGATCAACAGCAGAAGTTGGAACCCCCTGCCAGGTGTGCCACAGAGCTGCTCATGGCATAGTAAGGGAAAGGAAAGTTTAACTGAGATTTCATTTTCCTTCCTTCTATTATTTGTTCTCTGTCTTGTTGTATTGGTGTTGTCACACTGAGTGTGTGCTGGTACGGCAGATACCATTTGGGCAGGAATTCTGAGTTCTAGACCTCTGGAAATCCCAGCATGAGCTAAATGTTTCAGCTTTCAAAACAGTGAATGATTGAACCCATTTGTTCCCATTTGAGTTCCCAGAAATGTCTTGAGTGAGCACTGGAACAGATTCACAGGACAGGCTCAAATACCACTTTCACAGCCATTCTGGTTGCTCCTTTGCAATGTCTCTGAGTAAGTTCCCTGTGAATTCATGCTGGTTTTTCTATGTGATCAGCACCAATCCCATCTCTGGGGATCTTTATATTCACAGCCAGGCCTTTCTTTCTATTGTTAGTTGGTAAGGCTTCCTTCTCTGAGGCTGTCATCTGTATGTGACTGTAAGCCAGCACAAGATGGCTCTGAGGGAAGAAACAGTAATGTTTGGACTCGGGGTGAAGACAATTGTCAATAAGGAACCTGTTAATGATACTCAGCTTGCCTAATAAAGGTTATCCCAAGCAAAGGAGGGTTTGGGCTCTTTTAGCTGGGAATCATGCTTCTGCAAGACTCTTCCCTCAAGCCCAGATCTTGGCAGGAAAATGTGTGCTGTACATATGGATTTTGAGTTGTGCAGTTGCTCCTTGCCCTCTCTGAAAAGCCAGTGGTGGCAGGGCTAAAGCTTGAGCCACATCATAAATTTGGAAATGTCTCTGTTCTGAAATAAACCAGCACCCCACAATCCCTGTGGCTGCTTTATCTGTGCTAGCTGGGATAAAGCTCACGTACCAGAGAGAAAAAGGGAAAGGAAAAATCCTCAGCTAACTCTCACTTCCCTGGAAGTTTCAAAATACCTAAGGAAATGTGTCAGTGTGGGATCAGCAGTAGCTTTTACCCTGCTGCCCCTCTCCAGCCTTGCAGCTGTACCCTGGATGAAAGAAGAGGCGCCATGCCTTGGAGACAACACTGCAGCAAGAATCCCGCTGCACCTGCCAGTCCTTCACTGCGGTCCTGGAACTGCCAACAGCAACACTGTATCTGGAAAAGACTGCTTTGACACATGTATGAAAATGTCTCATCTTATTTAAATGGCATTGTAGGAAGTGGAAATAAAGAGTAACCAAGACTGGAACAGTCAGTGTGAGACTGATCCTCTGCTCTCTAAACCAACCAGGAAAGTACCTCAAACACCAGGAACAAGAAAGGGAGGCAGAGAGAAAGGATGACTCTACTTCTCCCTGCCAAACCCAGGACAGTGCAATGGGAAGGGCACTCCAGTTCTGAGAAGATTCAGCAGCTGGTCAGAGGACAAGGGACAGAAACATCCATGCACATGGATGCATGCCCTCATGCACACAGGAATGACTGGCATATAAGGAAGGAGTCAGATCCAGGAGCCTTTTGTACAAACGAGCTGCAGCATGAGCAACACTCTGTGCCTTTTCTTGGAAGGGGCTGTGAAGAACACAGCAGCCTTAACTCAGATTGATAAGTAGCAATTCACCTACCAGAGGGATGGCCACATCCTCGTAGGGCAATTTATCTTCCCTCCACGCATCATCGATCAGATCCAGGATCCTGCCATCCCTCTGCACCTCGCTGTCCATCGTCGCAGCAGGCGAGAGCAGCTAAATCTGTGACACAAAGCAGATGCTGTTTTAACAACATCCCCAGCCAAGGAGCTGGAGTCTGGACTGTGTAATCCATATGAAGTTTAAACTTGCAAGGAAAACCTTGATTTCCCTAATCAACTCAAAAAGGGGTTATAACCACAGGAGAACAACTTCATCTGAGAAGAACTCTATCAAAGTGAATTGCAGATTGATATGCATAAGAGATAAATATATAAAACCAGCTGGTTATTATTAATGATATATACATGTGTTTGTATCTACTGACTGACTTTTAGAAGTGTAATTTGAGTATGAGCACCTAGAACAGCCCAGAACCCTTTGCTGCCTGCTGGCATACAGCCCCTGACCAGTGCCGTGCCTCACCAACTCCTTCACATGTCTGGGAGAGTCACAACAAAGGACTTCAAGGTACCCAGAATTCTGCACAAACCTGAAGTCCGGGAAACTGGTGAAACAGAAGCAAAACGATACCTATATTTCACCCCCAGCTACTGTAATTACGCCAGAGTATTTCATTGTACTCTGCCCTCCTTAAAGGGTCACCTCAGGCCCTCACCCCGGTGTGTCCCTACAGCAGCAGCAGCAGGCAGCTCGATCCTGGGGGATACGAGAGAACTGACACTCATTCAAAACCAAGCCAGGCCCTGCGCTCGCCGGCTGCCGGAGCCGCCATGTGGGCCTGAGCGCATCCCAGCCCCTGAGCGATGCGACCCCTGCCTCTCCCGACCAACACGCTCCGTGACCGTTCCGTGACCGCCCCGCGTCCCGCGGTGTCCCCGCGGTGTCCCCAGCCCGTCCCCGCTGTCCCCCTTCCCGCCCTACCCTGCCCATCTCCGGGGCCGGCGCTGCGCAGGCGCCGCCCCAGCGCATGCGCAGCGCTGCCGCCGCGGGGCCGTGCCGTGCCAGGGTGGGAAAGGCGGAAAGGCGGCAAGGAAGGGGAAAGGAAGGAAGGAGGGCAGGCAGGCAGGAAGGAAACAAACTAACAAACAAACAAACGAGGGAGGAAGGCGGGTCGGCCAGCCAGCCAGAGCTGGGGTGTCGGCAGCCCGGAGCGGAGCTCGGCCCGCGGGCTCAGAGCTGCTCCCCAGGGCGCGGCGCTGGAAGGGCCCCGGGCAGCGGAACTCCGCGGCGGGTGCGGGGTAAACGCCGTGAGGGCTCGGCCGGCGGGGAGGCTCCGGCTGGGGAGGAGCTGCAGTGGCAGGAGTGGGGAATGCCTGCCCGAGGGCAGCTCCGCTGGCTGTGCCGGGGAGCACTGCCCGGGCACGCTGGCCCCGGTCACTTCACAGGCTTAACCTGCAGCAGGGCAGCTTTGGGTTGGACATTAGGAGGAATTCCTTCATAGAAGGGGTCATTAGAAATTGGAAGGGGCTGCCCAGGGTGGCGGTGGTGGGGTTCCCATCCCTGGAGGTGTTTTAAGGAAAGACCGGGCGCGGCACTCAGTGCTCTGTGCTGGTGGGCTGGGTGACAAAGTGGGGTCTGTCACAGGTTGGACTCGGTGGTCTCAGAGGACTTTTCCAACCTCAGTGATTCTGGGATTCTTGCTCTGGCGAGAGCTTTGTCGCTCCGGGCTCCTGCCGCATGTGCCTTTCCTGCCGCTGGCAAGTGGTGCTCGCCTGTGGTACTGCTTTTGAGAGGTTGTTGCTCCTTTTGTGTTCATTGTAAGCATGCTTCCAGCAACGCCTTACGATTGCATCTTTCTGTGTTTTTAAATGCGAAGTAATCCCAGTCTTTTCTCATGAGCACTAGTCTTAATCCTCCTGGGTATTGTAAAGTTCTCTTTACTTGGCTACTACAATTCTGCCTTGAGCTGGGATGCTAAATGTGTTGTCCTGTTTTGGGCTTTTTTTTTTTTTTTCTTTTTGGCAAATACTTCAATTTTCTTCACTTTCAGAAGTGACCAGCTAGTTCTCCATGCTTCAGCTGTAGTTAATGAAGGAGATTGTTTCCTCTTGTGGGTCTTTACTCAGGTGCCTGTAACTTGCACATTTGCAACTTTCAAGCATAAGAGGCCAAAATTTAATAGTAAGTCAGCAAAGCTTATGTACCATAAAACTGGCTAGATGTGTCTGATTTTAAGGCTTTTCCCCAAAATCTGGATATGCTGGCAAAGTAAGCAAAGCTGTCAGGCTGTGGGGGTGGTGAGGCAGTGGCACAGAGAAGCCATGGCTGTCCCTTCCATGGAAGTGTCCAAGACCAGGTTGGATAGGGTTTGGAGCAACCTGGGATAGTGAAAGGTGCCCCTGCCCATGGCAGGGGGTTGGCAGGAGATGGCTTTAAGATCCCTTCCAACCCAAACTGTTCTGGAATTCTATACTGTCTGTCTCCTCATCTCTCTGCCCACTGAAAATTGATTCCGTGTAGGTGTGATTAGAATGAAAGAGGAGAGCTGCTACTGTCTAATGTCTGCTGTTGCCACCTGGAGAACTCTTGGAATGCTGTCAGCAGCTCAGGGGATCTGCTCATCTGCTCTCCTCAGCACCCTGCCCTCAGCAGAACCACAAAGTTGTTCTGCATACTGATTGAGTTTTGTTAAGCACAAACAGGATCAAAGACAGACAAAACACTGTCAGAATAGGGATAGGATTTTTTCTTTGCTTGTGGTTTAAAACACAGCTCTCAAGGACATGTTTTAATCCCTGAGTTGTGTTTTAAAGTGCTGTAGGAGCACAATAGAAGATTCTTTGGGAAAGAGAGCAAAGCTGAGCCTGCATTTGTGAAAGTCTCTCTTGCTGTGACTGGCTCCCCTTTTGCTGATTGCTTAATAATGCCATATTAATCTTTGAGGAAATATGTTGGAAGGATCTATCTTCAGTACTTGGAAAGTGTGTAGATTTTGGAAGCATAAGTTTGTGTTAATAGCTCTGGATGAATTTAACCATTTTTGTGTTAGATGCAGTTTCATTGAAGAGACATTGAAATAAATTTTGGCTTCCTGGCTATGGTTTCATGACAACTTTTTATTCCCCATTTTTAGCTTTAGTGTAAACCCTTCTTGCTTTCACCAAGATGTGAAATTTCTTCGGGTATGCACATGTTTGTGACTTAAAAGGTGTAGTTTTTACCTGAAGCAATGTACTGCTCCTGCAGTACAAATGTAAAATAAGCTATTCAATTTATTTTCATAATTTAAGGCATAATTTAAGAGGAATTTTTCAGAAGTTTGTGTTTTCTTGAAATTCCCACAACCATATAAATATCCAGTGTGTTCTGAGTGTGGTGGTAAACTGCATGGTCCCTTTAACATAGTCTGTAATAGAGGCTTGGAAAATACTTAATTTATGGATGAGTTCTTACTACTACTTGCTTGTGTTTTCTCTCTGAAGGGACAAACTTCCCTGTTGGGGGTGGATCTTGGGCTGGCCCCTTTCAAGCCCAAATGTTCCTGTTCCTCCACAGGCTGGTGCTCTCAGATCTGCAGTCCCTTTGTGTTGAGTTGACACAATTGCAGATTCTTGTTGCTCCTCTCTGAATTTATTAGATCACATGATTATATCACTGCAATTTGGTAGTGCTGGATGATAGCATTGGGTACATTTTTCTGGGAAAAATCTGCTTTCCTCTATTTGGCTTGTAAGTTCATTATTTTCCTTACCTGTAATTGCATGCTCCTTGTATGTTTTTTAACTTCTTTGCTTTGTGGGCTTTTGCTTGTCTTGCAGTTGTATGGAGAAGCACCTGGTTAGTGCATTGTCATGGGTGACCATTGCTTTCCTGTACTTCCCTAGTACTGAAGCCACCAGGATTCAGTGATGGAGGCCTTGCTGGAAGGAATGCAAAGAAATGGGCAGGGGAGGTATGTATGCAACTGTACACAGCAGTCATTCCAAATGATTTAAGTATTAACCTTGCTTCTTACTGAAAATAAATCCTCTGGTACCAGTGTGCAGTGGCCTTCAGCTGCTACAGGAGCAAAGTCACTGGGGCAGCTGGCTCTGCACTAATCCCTGCTCAGGTATTATAGTCCTAATTGTCAGAAATTTAGTTCTATGTCTTCCTGAAAACCTTGGCGTCCTTTTTTTTCAATTGTTGTAAACTCTTCTTACTGTCCAACATCAGGAGCAGTAGTAAATAAAGCTGTGAATAAATATTTATTTTGTAACAGCCTTGCAAGGCTAATGAGATGTGACTTTGTTATCTGATTTCACTGAAAACATCTGGTTATTTCCTGCTTGTGTTGAAACTGCAGAGTCCCACTCTGCTCTGAGGAATCCTTAATGCTCTGTCTGAGGTGAGAGCCTCTAGACTTTTTAAACCCTGAGAGAGACTGTAGTGACAATAACAGAACAAAATGTTTTATGTGTTAAACAACCGTGAAGCAAAAGTCACTGATGCCATTTTCCTAGTCATCCCTGAGAATGTGACACAAATTTATTTGATACTGTATCTTCTTCAGAGAGCTGGTTGCAGAAATCAAGTTTAGAATTTGCTACATATTAGCAGATGCTGTGAAGGAAATGTTCCTGCTCTGCATAATAGCTGCTAATTTTTGGTTAACTCACAGGACAGGGTGAACTTCAAATGTGACTGATTTTGGCTCCTTTAAGAAGTATTTCTTTTCCTATAGAAAACGTGCCAAGTCCTGAAGTGTGCATATGCCCTGGGGGAACAGAGAAATTTCCATCCCTTAACCTATTGATTTCCATTTCTTTTCAGTTCTTCCCTTTGACAGGCAAATTAAAGGGGTAGAGATCATTATGGAGTTCACCACCCTCTAGGGCTGTGTCTGGCAAACCTTAATATTGTCCCTGTCTTGGCAGCTGGGAAGTTTTAGAAGAGTTACTTGAATTGACTTCAATAATTACTGCACCAAATTAGAAATCTGGGCATCGCTAGGGAGCTTGTGCTCCCCGATGGATTGCGAGGGTTTGATTCTTCATTATCATGTTGTCATCCAGCCCCCTCTGCTTCAGGGTTTGTCTGCATTTGTGATAAACTTCTGTTTTTGGGAGCTCATAGCTTGGCTGTAAGATTCCTCTGGTGACTGAAACCTGCTATAAAATGCCACTGCCTGGAGAGCAATTAAGGCAATACAAAATATGAATTAAACACACTTTGGTTTCCTTACATAATGCATAGTACCCAAGGCAATAGGCTGAATGCCTAAGTGTGAAGAGATGTGGTTTAGTGGGCATGGATGGTATTGGCTAAAAGGTTGATGATCTTGGAGGTCTTTTCTGACCTTAATGATTCTGTGATTCTGTGTCTGTACAAGCTGATTTGAAGCGAGTTCAAAGCACTGCATGTGCAGAGTTGGTGTTCTGGTGCCAGTCAGTGCGTTCTGCTGCCTTGGTTGGTTTGGGACATGGGATGTGTTGGGTGGGACCTGCTTTGTGACTCCAGACTCTCTCCCCTCCAGCGGTGGGTTCTTGACCTCCTGTGAGGCTGAGCTGCAGGAGCTGATGAAGCAGATTGACATCATGGTGGCTCACAAGAAATCCGAATGGGAAGGGCAGACACAGGCTTTGGAAGCTTGTCTGCGTGCTCGGGAGCAGGAACTCTCCTCTACCAAGGCAGCTTTGCAGGAAAAACAAAAGGAGGTACCTTTGTTTCATACTATTTTTTGTTTGGAGTCAGCAGTGCATTTTACCTGTTAGAAACATGAAATCAGGAATAGAATTTTTTAAGGACCTGTTGGAACAAAGTGTCTGGTTCATAATTCAATCCAATTCAAGTGATCAGCTCCCCTAGGGTTGGTGGAAGTCCTCATATTGAACTGTTAGAGTTATTAGAGAGAACCCAGAGACACTGGTTCTGGCTACAGCAGTAATGGACAGCCCAGCAACCTGCAGTCATTGCTAGAAAAAACCCATTTCCTACAATATAAACTGCATCAAGAAAACCATTTCTTACTATGAACTACACCAAGACATTGCTGGGAAACTCTCCATGGGCTGCTTTTCAGAGAAGAGCTCTGCTTTTGTGGTCTTTAAATAAAAGCCTGAGGGAAGTGCAAAAAAATTGTGTTGGTGGAAAATTATTAATAAGTGAAGTTTTTGTGCAGGATGTGGACCATAAGATGCAGTTGAGCCACAGTATTTTCGTTAGCAAGAATGATGGCTTTTATCATCTAGGTTATTGTTGTTATTATCAATTATGTTTTCTCAAGACACTTGAAATGTTTCTTACCACCAAAAGTAAACATGGATTTCAAACTGAACTGTAAAGTATGTTTGAAGTCTCTGCTGGAGTATATTCATGCTTTTGGTTTAGTCATATGAATTTTCTGTTGGTTTTCTTTTAATTTGTTGGCTTGTGACCACTCAGGTTGTGGATGGGAAAAGATAGGAGGAAAAAAAAAGGGAGAAAAATGAGTCACAGGAGCAGTTGAAACAGTGTCAGGGAAGTCTTTTCTGTGAGCTTCAAAACCCCATTTATTTTTTTCGTTGCTGTTAAGAATCTCTCTTTTGTCTGAACATAGTAAGCTAATGATATGGGCAACTTCTCTCTTGGTAGATAGCTTGAAATCATAATGCATATTTGTGAAGAGTTTGATGAAAATACTGGATAGAAATGGGCTTTTGGCACAAAACAAATATGTCAGCTTTGTCCCCAGAAGTGAAATCCAGAAACTGGCTCAAAACAAGAGGCCACAACAGAAACAGGTGTGGCCCAAGCCTACCAAAGATTTAGGCACAGCCTCCATCTATTTCATATTGAGGGACCCCAGTGAAATGTCCATGTATCTAATGGCAACAGAGCCTTCTTCTGTTGTATTTATTTGCATTTTATCCCTTTGTTCAGATTGGCATGTTGCGTTGCCAGGTCGAAGATGTGGAAAAATCCAAGCAGGACATGGTTAGAGAGTATGAACAACAGCTGAAGAAATTCCAGGAGGAAGTGAGTTGCAAAGAGAAAAGTTTGGTTTCTAGTTCTCAGATAATGATGGACCAATTACTTTGTGTCATTGTTTTTGTTTCAATGCTGTGGTTTTAAAACTCCCCACTCCGTTAGTGTTTGTGTGCTTACAGAAAACAGCATTGAGCATAGATAAGGTAGCATCTTTTTTTTGTGATTTAGAGGAACTTGGTGACAGACAGAGAACTGTTGAAGTAGAAATGTTTTTGTATGTTGGACATATGCAGAAGTTTACTGCAAGAATGTGCTGTGTTTGCCTATCCCAGTCACCACAGTGCTGCTTCTGGAGCTGCCACAGGTACAGGCAGCAGCAATTTGCTCTTTCAGCATTTCTGAAATTCAGAAGGGGTGGAGATGTGACTGGCCTGGCTTGTTTGACATCAGGAAATAGCAATGGCATTTCTCATCTTTTTGCCTCTGTTAACACTGATGAATTTAGAAGGGATTTTGTACTCTCAAGGAATATTAGTCTTAATACCCTTTATAAAAACCAAGTGTACATAGAAAATGCTGTTTGACATTAATATCAGAACTTTAATCTCAAAGTCTCTTGCTCAGTGCAAGATGATACCTGTCCTGCAGGTGGTATAACAGCATTCCAGGTTTATGCCTGAACTCTTTGCCTGTCTCCACTTGCTGGTAGCAGGGAGTGAACTGGCATGAGCAGCTCATAGAGCACTGACCTATTTTCTCTGGAGGGCTGGGCCTAGTTTCTGCTCACTGTAAGCCATAAGTGAAATTAATTTGGTAGTCTCTGCTCTGATGACAGAAGGCATCTTTTCTCATTTAAAAGTACCTCACTATTCCATATGACTAAGTGTCTTCATTTGCTGGGTGTTCTCACTGGAATTGTGGATAAGCTGCAAAGAAAAGCTAAGGTACATTGGCAGATCAGCCTAAATTGCTAAAGCTGAAATACAGCCTGTGTGTTGTGGCCTAAATTGCAGTTTGTGGGTATTTTACCTACACAGTATTAATGCTGATGGCATCGAGCTCCAGTATTCCTCAGTCTTCTGTTCTTAGTACTGTTTGGGGAAATTATTTCTGTCCCTGTTTACCACAATTTCCAGTGCAATTACAGGTACAGTGTCTAACTTACTGAGACTGTTGAAAGAATAAACCTCTTATCTCCTGATACGTTTGGCAAAAGCATCGATGGTATTAACTCTAGGCCTGAACATCTGTCCCCACTGAACACACCGAAGTACGGAATGTATCGGGTCTTGAATCAGATATTTTTTCTTCTCATGGTCCTTCTGTTCATCCATGGGCTTAGCTTTGTCCATCAGTAAAACAGCAATGATGGCTTCTCAAATTCATGTGGCTATTTGGAAGCCTTTCATTTAATAGTTGAGTAGGGGGAGCTCATCATATGAAAAATTCTCTGCAAGTTGAAAGTGATTATTTGCACAGGGGGTCATTTAAATGTCAAGAGTTTTTTCCTCATTCCTGCTTCTGATACAACTTCAGCATCCTAGCAGCAGGCGTAGGAGTGATATTTTCTGTTGGCATTCTCGACTCATTGTGAAATACACAGTGTATCTAAGCAGAAAATGACAGATGAAGTGGTGTTGATATTATGGGTAATGGCAATTCTCAAACCTTCCTTCTCCCACTAAGCAGGAGAGTTCCAGTTCCCACCTGAGCTGTACAAGTGTATTTTGATCACACAAGAATTACCTGCGTGTGCTGTGGCGGGTGTGTTCCTGTGGGTGAGCAGAACAGCCACAGGCACTGCCGGCTCTTCCTGGGGCTGGGAAGCACCTGTAGAGGGGGGGATACTGTGCTTTTGCTGCATTGACAGCTGCATGTAAATCTCCATCTTATCAATATTTCAGTCATGCTTTAATTATGGTAAGACAGGGCTTTAATTAAAGCTGCTGATGTCATGACTTCAGTGGCATCTTTCTACTCATACAACTCATGTGTTTTGCAGTGGTGTTGATACGAAAGACTCATTATCCAAATGGAAGCCTTCACTTGGGAGCTGTGTGGCCTTGATGAGGGCATTGTTTGTTTGAACCACTTTGTGTGTCTTCTTTCAAAGGGCTATGTAATTCTTGCCTTGGGACCTTGAGCAAAGCTCTCTCTTCTCTGTATCCTGCAGTTGTCCCGGCTGAGGAGGAGCTATGAGAAGCTGCAGAAGAAAAAAAGCAGAGGAGAAGCTAACAAGGGACAAGAGGAGGACAAGTTTGAATTGAGCCGACTGACCAGGAAGCTGGAGGTATGTGGTGAAAAAGCAAATGCTGACTAGCTTGTATGTATTAACTGCCTTACTGAGCTTCACTGGTGACTGATCAGTCCACTAGGAATGGACTGTGAATCCTGCTTAAGGGGCACTGCCCATCCACTCTCCAGGTGTGGCTTTTCTCAACTGCGTGTGTGATAAAGGCAGTTTCATGTGCTAGGGCCCCTGACTGCACAGTGTAAACCTTAATGCTGTTCTTACCCCAGACTAAATAAGAGGAAAAAGGTGCTGGAAGAGTAACTAAGTATGTGAATGGAATGAATTCCAGTGTGGGGGGGTTGTATTCTGACTCCTTTGAGGAGGAGGGAGCTACATGTGAAACTTCTCAACCCTGTCTCCTAATCTTTCTGCTCTGTTGAACTCAACCCCACTCAGTTTTCTCCTTCTGAGAGATGTGGTAACAACACACATCTGATGATGTAGTGCCCAATTTCTGGAGCAGCAATTAGCAGTCAAATTCGGTATTTAATTCTTGTAATCTTAGTGATTTTGACAGCAACATGTTTTGGACTCTAAAGCTAGTCTGAATTGTTAAACCCCTGACAGCAAACCCATGAAACCATGAATGTGCTGGCACTTAACATTTGTGAGCAGCTTTACCTTGGGAGGGGACGGAATGCAGCGAGCACGGTGTGTGAGGGCTCTGCGCTGCTGAGCTGCTGCATCAGGTGACTGGCTAATGGTTTCCCTGCTGGGGGAAAGGTGTGAGGATATGGTGGGCAGAGAAGGCAAACATGGATATGAACTGGAGGGGGATGTACTGCTCCAAGCCACCCCTGCTGTCCTTGCAGGAGTTCCGTCAAAAATCACTTGACTGGGAGAAGCAGCGCCTGCAGTACCAGCAGCAGGTGGCATCGCTGGAGGCACAGCGCAAGGCTCTGGCAGAGCACTCCGAGCTCGTGCAGGTACAGTTAACCTCTGCTGAAAGTTTCTGCTTTGTTTGTGGCAGGGAGGGAGAGGCTAATGAAATCTCTCAGGCTCCCATCCAGTTCAGATTGCCATTGAAGTGACTTCTAATGTTCCAGCAGAATAAGGTTTGCTTGTACAAGTGCTGTATGGAAAAAAGATGTAGAGTCTGTCATCAGAGATTAGATAATCCTTGTGCAGCTCCCCCTGCCATTGCTCTGGTTAGCAGAGAAGGCAGTAGGATGTAGATTTACCTGGGAGGCAGAGACCACAGCATATGAGACTTTAAAATATGTTACATCATGTTGTCTAGTTGAAAGCTGTGTACCTGCCAGCAGCTAAATACGAACCCTGTGGGTCCAGCTCAGAGGGTATTGTTGGAAAACAGTCTTCCTCTACAACAGAGACTTGCATAAAATACTGAAGCAACAGCAGTTTTCAGCCCCCCACCCCCTTTTTATTTTAGTTCTCTCAAAGGCAAGAAGTAGTAGGGCTGCTGTTCTGCAAAGCTGATGGCTCAGTGAATTAGTGGTGCTGCATCAGAGTGAGATGAATTGACCTAGAGCACAGCTGTGAAGTCACACAGACACAATCACAGCAGACACTGATAAGAAGCTCTTGCTGGGGACGTTGCACTTAATGGGCTCCTGAGTTGCTCTTGAGTGGAAGCTCCTGCAAGGAGGGAGACTGTGATGACAGGATTGAAGCTGGCTCTGACAGGGGCTTTGTGAGAGGCTGACACCAGGAGATCTACAAATGCAGAGAGTCCTTGAGCAGAAGGTCTTGCTGCTCTGCTGTCTGTGTGTCGTTGATAGCTCAATTGTTTGGGAACAGATGTGTCCTTGGAGCTCAGACTGGGACACTGGGGCACAGAGGAACTTGTCTTATTGTGCAACAGAAAACCAGGAGGTTTGGGAGGTTTTCCCGAAGCGACATAGGTGCCTTAGGTGCACAGGTACTGTGAACAGACTTCCTGAACCCTCAGTCGCTTTGAGAAGCGCAGCATGGAAGTGCTAAATTTATTGTCTTGGATGTTTCTGTATATTTTATGCACTTAGTTGTCTTTCTAGCGTGAGGTCAAGCTGAGATCCATGGCCATGGAGTACTTCCCCTCTCTCTCCTTTCATCTGGCTTCCCCTCATCTCTTCCAGAGCAGCTTAGGGAAGCCTGGAATTCTTCCCCAGTACAGGCTACCTTCTGGAACACCTGCAGCCTTTAAAGTCAGCCTTTCCTAAAAACCTGGAATTCTCTGCTGGCCTGGATGTTGTGTGGCTGGAAATAAGAGATGGCTTAAATGTTTTCTTAATGCAGAAATAAATATTCAGGCAGTCTGATACTCTGGCAACTTTGGTGAAGAAAGGCTGTGCTTTAAACTCTCAGCCCTCTGGATTACCTTTTCTGTCATGACTATTTAAATAATAATAAAAGGCTGTAATCAAAACTATACCATAGCCTTGCAAATGAGCAGTTCTTAGAGTTTGTGTAAATCTGGGCATGTGGTGATTCTGACAGGCATTGCTGCTCTTTGAAACTGGGAGTATAGGAGTGCTCAGATATTTTGTTTCAGCCTTTAAAAATTCAATGATTGTGTACAAAAAGGGAATATATGAAGCGAATGTTCCTAGAAGTTTATGAGAGAGCTGGCTTGTTAAATTTCACCAGCTAGCTGTGTGGAAAGAAATGCTATGAAATAAAGTATTGTGCCTATAAATTATAGAGCAGGTATTGTCTGCTACCTGTACATTCCTTGTAACTTTTTTGTCTGCCATTAAAACACTGAAAAATTCAAAGTGAACATTCCCCCAAGCTGCTGGAACAAGCTATTTACTGCAGAGAGCAAAGCAAATTGGCTGTTACACCTGGTTTGTTTTGGGGCTGTTTGGTGGTTGTGGTTTTGCAATTGTGCACCCTGAGTTGCTTTCTCTCCTGGTGTGGAATTCATGGTTGGGTAATCTCTGCTTTGTTTGGTTTACAAACTTTCTTACCTGCAGCCATTAGTCCTGGTCTAGCCTTGGGCTCATGAGCAAAAAATAGCAGGTGGCTTTGTTGTTAGACAAATCATACTCAGGCAGCTGGAGTGATTTGAGATTCTCATTTTCCAGATTCTCTTTGAACTGCCTTTGGAATCAAAGGCCCTCTTTTTTTCATTTTGTTTTTTACTTATTCCGTTTGCCTTTGGAAGTTTTATCCATCATGTAACCTGGAACAATACTCTCCCTAATTCCCTGGAAGGTATTGCTTACTTTTAGAGTGTGGCTCATTACACCAAGAAATGAGTAGTTGTGTTGAATTTAGCTTTGGTACAACTTTTGTGCTTTTGCAATTCAGCTTTAATGCAGATGATTGCTGTTGGCAGAGCCAGCTGGCCAATCGGAAGCAGATCCTGGACTCGGTGGAGCTGGCGAGCCGCTCAGAAATCCAGCACTTAGCGAGCAGGCTGGAGAGGGCCAATGACACCATCTGTGCCAATGAGATGGAGGTGGAGAGACTCAGCATGAGGGTGGATGACCTGAGTGAGGACAATCGCCTGATTCTGGAGGATCAGCAGAGAGTTCAAGAAGAATTAAGGCAGTCAAAGAAAATGTTAGAGGTGGGAATGTTAGAGTGGAAGAACTCTTTAAGAAACAGGGTCTAAAGAACTGCTGGTGGGAAGGCTTTTCATCCTGGAGTTTTTGTCTCTTTCTAGAGCCTTTGTAAAGTTCCTGATTGGCATAAAATTTTTTGCAGCCATATGCTGCTCTGCAGTATTTCCAAGGGTCCTAAAAAATCTGATGTACTTCTCATCACATTGCAACAGACTGGTTTGGTCCATCTTGCAGCAGTCATTCCTTCTGCCTCCTGTGCAGGTGCTGCAGGATGAGAAGATGGAGCTGAGAGCTACCTTGCAGTCCCAAGAAGATTTCATTGACAGCTCCAAGCTGTACCAGGAAAAGTTACAGAAGGAGCTGGCTAAGATGACTGAAACTCTTCACACAAAAGAATTCCTCATCAGGTAGCATCTGTGCCTTGCTGGTACTTTGGCTCTTCAATCCAGATCTATGCTCCAGGTTCTCTCTCTGAGGACGGTAGCAGCATTTTCATGCAGCTGGATCTGTGTTGGTTGTATTTAACATTGTGCACTGCAGTTTCTCACAAGCGCGGTGCTGCCTTGCAATGTTTTTCAGTTTGCGTTGCTTTTGAAATTAGCAGATAATCAGTAAAGAACATGGAAGGAATCCACTTTCCTCAGCTGGGTTTCTGGAGGCAGTGCAGGGCTTTTGAGGGTGTTTCTCCCAGGCATTTTCAGCTGAGTGCTGGAGGCCTTTCAAGGTTTGATAATGTGCTTATGAACCTAGGTGAAAGTTCACACTGGTTGGGTCTGGGTGAGGTGATTACATCTGTGACAAAATCATCTTGGCTTCCCCTTCTGCCCTGGCAATGTGCAGAGGCTGTTGGATTTTGGTGGCTGTGTCAGAAGGTTTGGGTGTTGGTCACCTACCAGCCTCTGTCAGGGAGGCCAACATCAAAATAAAATGTAGTCTTTTTCAATCAGCCTTAACTCAAGCAGGGCCTGTCATCCAGCTGCTGTGTTTGCTTATTCACACTGCACACAGTGGTCACCTGCTTTTAGGTGCTGTGCATTTTTCAGAGAATTCCAAGAAAAAGTAGTTATGTTCTCTGTACCAGTGAACTCAGACATGATGTTTCTGTGCTGGGATTAAGCTGCTGTTTCTGCGTAGGGCCTTGGAGGAGCGCTTGCAGGGGAAGCCACTGTCCTCTGCAGGGCTGGAGCTGGAGCAGGTGCTGCTGCAGCTGGATGTTGCCCAGAAGAAGGAACAACACTTGCAGACAGAGGTGACTCGTCTTGAGAACAGGTAGCCCATGGCTTGCTCCCTCTGGAAGTGCAATTAGTCTTGGATAATAATACAACACCTAATTGGGTTCATCAAGTTAACCAGTGATTTTTGTCAGCTTGTTTTAAATATCAAAGGGCTAAAGAAATCAAGTGCTATTCATTTTTCAGTGTGATAGTGGCTGCTTTGGTAATTTGTTGGCTGCCTTTCACTGCATGAAAGGGGTGTTCTCAGTGTTCCAGCTTGCTTAGGCTGAGCACCTTCACTCATAATAGGCTAAGGAGTCTTTGTTAGGCAGCTGGTAAGAACCAGATTCAGACCTTCCTGTGAAGTGAGGATTATAAACAAATCTGTCCAGAGAGACTGTGGACTCCCCATCTTGAGAGGTGTTCAAGACCAGGCTGGATGGAGGTTGAGGCAGCCTGGTCTAGCTGAAGGTCTCCTTGCCCGTGGCAGGGGGTGGAACAACTTGAGCTTTAGGATCCCTCCCAACCCAAAGCATTTTGTGATTCTGTGATTCCTCTCCAAGTTTGTGGTTTTCAGACTTGTGTTTACATAGAAATTTTGTAATCTTAGTTTGTAAAGAAACAAGCAAAAACCAGCTGTTATCTGTTAGATGAACTTCCTGATCTCATGTGAAATGATTTTGGAAAACAAACCCAAAGGATTGGTAAGGAACTTGTAGGCTGAGTTCAGTTTCTGTTGTAATGGACATAAAAGACTGCCTGGAAGATCAAAGTTTCTCTGACCATTTCCTCCATCTTGGGTTATTCTAATCTATACTTTTGCATTTGGCACCCAGCCTGGTGTCTTCAAATGCCAGGTGTGTGCAGCTGAGCGAGGAGCTGGGTGAGAATATCAAAGAGCTGCAGTCCCTGGAAGAAGACCAGACTGAGTCGAGGGCAGAGATTAAAAAGGTAACGTGGCTTTGTTCCCAGGGAGTGGGATGGCACTGGTGAAGTGATCCCCGTGTGCCACGTGCCTCAGCAGTAGGCAGAGCAGGGCTGCTGTGCAGGCAGGGATCTGCTGGAGGTAAGGAACACACCTGGCAGAGGAAGGGTTGAGAGGACACCTGTTTGCAGGTGTCTGAACTGGCTTTGTGAGCATCTCCTGGGCCTTCCCCAGTACTTCTGTACACTGGAGATACTTGAATTACTGCTGGAGGGGCAAATACGCAAAGAAATTAGGGTCTGCAATCCTGAGTTTAAGCCAAGTACAGGCTCCCAGCAGGATGAAGAGTAGAGAAGGAGTGAATTTGCTGTAATACATCCTGTTATACTTGAGGCAGGACTTCCAATGTGTCCTGGTCCCTGTGTGAATAAGGGAGTCTGTTTCAGGCTTGGTAGCTGGACATGAGGGCAGGGGCTGGGAGAGATGGAGCAGCTCACCTGCCACAAGGGGCTCACCCCAGAGCTCTGAGCACCCAAGGGGGGCAAGCCCTCCACTAGCTTGGCTCTTTATAATGGTCTGCATCAGCTTGTATGAGAGCTTACACTGGAGCCTGGTAGAGGGGAAGCCTCATTGAACCTGAGAGAAAAACCTCACTTGTGTGGAAATCTTTCATCCTTTATTCTGAACATACAGAGGTGCAGATCTTGCCAGAGATGTGTGCTTGGTTACACATCTAAACAGCCACACAGTAAATGAATCTCCCACAGGCTGCTGGGGAGGAGGGAGAGATTTATGAAGGCTGTTTCTGTTTTATATACTTGGGAGGCATTGAGGTGACATGGAGATAAATCACCGTATGTACAGTATTTACATGGGTAGGCAGAGATCATCTGGTTCAATTTTCTAAAATGCTTGTAATTCTCAGAAAAATCCTGGGTGTTTGGGTGGTTAATATTTCTGACTAATGAAATGGAGTCCTGGGGAAGAAATTATGCTGCTGTTCTGTTGTGCCACTGAGTAAATATACAGTGTGCCTACCGAAATATTGTATGTGGTGCAGGTCTGCAACCTCACAAAGCATTGAATAAACCAAGATAAGGTATGGAAAAAGATGACCAAAAGGATGGAGTGTTTTTTATACAAGCAACAGCTGAATGGAATAGGACTTACCAAACTGGAAAAGAGATAAATGAGATTGAATGGACTAAAAATAAAATCATGCCTGTCATGTGGAAAATAAATAGGGATTGATTATTCTCTCATAATGCAAGGACTAGTGGTCATCACACAGAGTTACAAAAACAAAGAGATGTATTTTTACTCTGTGCATAGCTGGCTGGTGGAAGCTTGCCATGGGAAGCTTTAGTTGCTACAAGCTAACATTGATTCAACTCTAATATCAATTCAAAAGACTTAGGGCAAATTAATTCCTGGAAGGAAAATCCAGCTTGAGCTATTTAAAGTTACCATCTTTAAATGGTATCTTCAAATACTTCAGGAAGGCAGAGTGGCAAATTGCAGGGTTATATTTTCCAAGAGTTACTGTGCTTCCCCAGTCACGGTGAACCTTTGGCTCTCTGGTTTTGGCTACAGAGGTTGAATGATGAGCTGAAGAGGCTGTTGCTTTGATAAATTGCGGGTCTTCTCAAGTACTTCACATGGCATGAAACTTCTTTCCAGTTGGCAGTGTGTGGTGTGGGAAAGGATTGGGATGAGGTGGCTTACAATCAGGAAGGACAAGCATGTGCAGAGGGTTTGTTATTTAGAGCTTTTTTGTTTTCCAGAGCTGAAATTTCATATTACCATGTGCAATACTTTTGGTTTTTTTGCTGAAACGTGTTTGAAAACTCGTGGGTGGTGTGTGTGTATGTCTTGCTCCAGCTGAAGGACCAGCTCTCTCAGGCTGAACAAATGCACAGCAGTGAGCTAGAAGGGATGAAAAGGGAGATCTCCAGGCTGACGCAGGAGCTGCACCAGCGGGACATCACCATTGCATCAGCGAGTGGCTCCACCTCAGACCTGGAGCAGCAGCTCAGAGCTGAGATTGAAAGAGCAGAGAGGAAAGCAGTGGAGCACAGGGTAAAAAAGGCACAAGACTCTTATGCTATCTGTTTAAGGCATCTGAAGGCTTGGACCACCATCCTGGTTTTTAGCTACATTAGTACTTTCCTTCTGTCTTTAGCCTCTGTACAAAAATTGAGACCTTCTGAAGGAATCTTCTAATGGTGGTGTTCACTGAATCTGTCTTGCTGCTTCTTTTCAAACCAGCAGCCTACAGTCCCACAGAATTCTTTGGGATCACTCATGCTATATAGGCCAGGATGGATACCATCTTTGAAAACTGTGCATGGTTATTTTTGTAGCCTTCTCTGTAGGGTCCCAGTACAACACTGAGCCCAAATCTTCCTTAGTACTTGAGTTTGAGGGTGAGAAATGCTTGGAGGGTGTTGTGGGCATGCATTGTGTTCTTTTTCTAGCTTGTTGTTTGCCTCTGTTTCCTCAGGTAATTCTGGTCCAGCTGGAAACCTTGAGGCTGGAAAACCGTCATCTCTCAGAAATTCTGGAAAAAACAGAGTGTGGTAAGCTGAAGGTATGCACTGAGGATCAGGAGCTGGGAAAGGGGCTAGCACTGTGTTCCTTCCTGGGTCAGAGTCTTTGCCCAGGCCTCTCAAAATGGGGAATAGAGCTCAGTGAACTTAAAACCCAAGCAAAAGAGGCAATTTGAGAGGAAACAAGGTGCACAAATATCAAGCATTTGTTCAGTCAGAGAGTGGTGAAGAGAACTGCAGAAGCAGCCATCATTTCCATGTCTTCTCCATGGGCTTTGGACCACGTTTTTTAGCACATTTCATTACACTTCCATTTTAAGCCAGTTTACCTCAAACCTTTGCTTCTCAACCTGTGACATCCTTTTGACCTGTCCTAGAGCTGTAACTGCTCTGGTCCATTGAAATACTTGAGGTGAGAGCGTGTTCTCCCCTGGTGAGGAGCCATTCAGCAGGGCTCTCCTTTGCTCTCCATGAGCAGGGTGCAGACTGGGAATATGGGCTGGATGTGTTGGGGCAGTGTTCTTGGAAAAGGCCCTGTGGTGGGCTCCTGCAGCTGAACAGAACCTCCACAGCTCTTGAGGCAGAGGGGAGACGAGGAACCTGCATGGAAGAGGTACAACCTTGGCAGAAATAATGAGTTGGCTCATTTTGTGAAGGAAGAAGTGACTGGTTTGCAAGTTCTGTCTCAACTTAAGCAGAATGGCTGCTTCCCAGGGGATAAAGGCTGGATTCAGACAGCTGACAACCTCATGAGAGTATGTCAGAGCTTTTATGCTGTTAGATCTGTGAGAAGGAAATAGTCAGTTCTTAGTATTAGTTTGGGGTGATTGTCAAATGTGCCAAGTTCCTGGGAAAGTGCTGAACAGAAGCTTGTGGCTGGTGTGATGGATTAGAAACAGCTTTCTGGAGGGCTGTTTTGAAACTGAAATAACCTAAGGCCCATTACTTTCTGCTTGAAAAGTGCCTGGTGGCTTTTGCCTGTGTGAGCTCCCAAAAATGTGGTAGCAGTGTGTGAAGCAGGAAATCTGCCTTTAAAAAAAGCCCCACAGCACTAAGGCACAGGAGCTGGATCTTGGCCTGGCAGTCTTAATGGACATTCAGAAAGACTTTAGATACAGAGGTGATGAGAGGTAATTAAGCATCTAAGTTTAATAGAATTGGCAAAAAACAAGTGGGACTGTCACAGGAGTAGAAGCAGTGGAAATTTTATCCACCTGGCCTGGTATAAAGAAGATGATGTGAAGAAGCAAGTTGTTCAGAGTTTCAGAAAGGTCAGAGGCAGGTACATCTAGGTCCATGTTTTCCTGTTTTAAAAGGAATCCACTGGTGACAGAGGCTGACCTTCCCAGGCAGATCAGCAGATCAGCACACTGAGTCTGGATGCAAGCCCAATAAGGCATATATGTAATTAATTTTCTCCTAGGAAAATCTTGAAGGTTTTGCTAGTCAAAATGAGATTAGGGGATATGCCCTAAGGAATCTCTTGCTGGCCTTTGCTCTGCATGTGACTGTGGTGTCTTGCAAACCAGAACTTCTGACTTCTGCCCTTCTTTGTCTGTTAGGGGCACGATGGCACCCTGAGAGCACTCAGGGAGGACTATGCTGTTGAGCTCCAGAAATTAATATCTGAGAACCAGCAGCTGCGGAAGGACCTCGCAGAGACCAGGGCGAAACTGGAGGTCACTGCACAGGTGTGCCCAGATGAACCCGAGGGCACGGCTCAGCAGGGGCAAGGCAAAGAGCCCAGGGATGTACAGCACAGGTGAGTGACCCCAGGGATGCTGCTTCCTCAAGGTGAAGGAGAGCAGAAGGTGTGGGGATGTGTGGGGTTTAATGGCACGCTCTGTCTCTCTGCAGTGCATCGTGCATCCGGGAGAGCACAAGGACTGTTTGGGAATCTGCCTATATGTCTTAAGCAGTGCAGTAGCTTTGAGTTCCAGCTGGTTTGTGTTCTGCAAAGCCAGCAGTGTTTGTCTTTTGTCTGCTTTTGCTTCTCTCTGGAGCAGCAGTCTGTGCTGTTTTTGGTGACAAGATTAGATGTGGCCCAGGCGGCTGTGCTCCCTTCTGTTACTGTGCTAGGATGTGCAGGCTGTGGTTTTTGGTATCTACAGTAGCAGAAGAGAGAGAGAATTCCACAGGGACTGGATGTGTGTTTGGAAGTGCTATGGAAACAAGTTTGGATTGCCAGGGTTGTTAGTAACATCTATGTTAATTGTTGCCTCTGTGTGAGTTTTTGCTGGAGTTGAGCTGCTAAGAGACAAACTCAGTGCTCAAACCTGCCTTCCAGGACAGCTCAGGAAACACAGCACGAGCACGATGAACACACAGCAAGGACACATCTCCAGCCTGACAGGACTGCTCAGCATCATAACAGGGACTCCCAGAGGTGTGGGGCTGCTGAAACAGGAGCTGTGAGCCCCGAGATGGGTGAGCCACCCTCCCAGAGCAGCAGCAAGAACTGCAAGGAGTCACGTGCCCGGCTGGGAGCAGAGTCTGTGCTCCATGTGGTGGATGAAAACAAAGATTTTGCAGATGAAGCATCTAAGCAGCCTGCCTCAAATCATCACAGAGAATCTGTGTTTTTGGTAAGCAGTTGTACAGGGGCTAGTTGTTGCTCAACAGCTGAAAATAGAGCTGGGTTCTAATCTGGTGAAAGGAGACAGGCTTATGAGTGCATGACCTAACTGCATGTTGTGTGTGATCTTGTAAGTAAATGAAAAGTTAAATGAGGAAGGAAAGCCACTGCTGGATGGTTAAGATTTGGCCAGGAGGATCCATATGGTGGCTCTTTCAGAAGTCCTTGGAGAAGAGCTTTGTGTTTGTGGGCTTGCTGAGTTAATTTCAGGAGCTCATGGTTCTCTCTGTGCTGGTGCTGTACCTCATTGTGTACCAGGACCTGACTGTGTCCCCTCAGAATTCTGCTTTAGCTTTTGGCTTGGGTCTATAGTAGGGGCTCAGAGTGAATGTGGAGTGCTGAGTATGTCAGTATTTCACAGTCTCTGGGTGACTAGTTGCTGCATATCTGTAAAGCACAGGGTGAGTTTTACCCCTTTTCAAAGGGGCTGCAGCAGTCAGCACACTGAACTTAAAGCTGCTTATGCTTGCTGATGACAAAGCCTGAAATCTCTGCTTCACTGCACAAAGGGAGCCTGCTCTTTTTTTCCCAGTTGCTGATCATACTTTTTTCACAGGGAGCAGTGTTAGCACTTTCTCTGTCTTACCTCAGCTCAGTTGCTGAAGCACTTGACCAAGATACAGAAAATTTGTACTGAATCACTTCTTCCTGTCATGTTTTAGGGAGGGGAGAATGCTGAGTGCTGGTCCTTGCTCCTGATGTGTTGCCCCAGCAATGTTCAGAGCCATTTCTCCTTTGTTTGTGTGTTGGTAGCAGTGACAACTATTAAACTAATAGCCGTCTTTTTGTGGGAGTCCAGAGAAGAGGCTCTAAGGCTAATGCACAGATAAGTGGAGGCTTGTCAGGTTTGTAGATGTTGATGAAGTTTACTACCAAGAATAGGCCTTGATTTTTCAAGACTAAAGTAGCTTGTGCACATACCCAGACAGCACTGTTGGAAACTCAGGGAGCTGCAGTATTGTAAATGGAAACTCTTCAGGTTGCAAGATTGGACCTAAAGTGTGAACAGTTCCACTTCAGGGTCTGAGAAGCTCTAGGGCTTGATGTTTAATAGAAGAGAATGGGCTGGTTTTTATTCTGAGAGGTCGAAATAAGGTTTCTAAGGAAATGCAGATATTTCTCCTCATGTTGACTGGGTCTCCCTGTTCATGGTCAGGCTCCAGTGTCTTTAAATCAATTCCTTTAGCGCTAAGAGAGGACTCTCATCAGAAGACAGTAGTGGGGTGGGAGAGATTTGCTTGTTGTCTGTAGGCTTTTCTGTTTCCCTTTGTTCCTGGCTGTTGATAAGACCTGAAAAACGAGACTCCAGGATTTGGAAATAACCAGTTATTATCTCTTGCCAAGACACTGAGACAACTTGTCTGTAATGGAAAGCAGCCCCTTAGTAACCTTAATATTTCCCGTGCCAGCCCCTGTGCACGAGGCTTCTCTTCATCAACTTGTACATTAAGCCTGGTTTACAGTGTTGTTTTTGTAAGTTAATAACTTGTGGCTAAGTGATGTGAGGAGCAGGAATAGTTCTTGACTGTAAAGGAAAGAATCTGGAGTAGTTTGTTGACCATTGCTGGCTGGACTGAAGTGCTGTTCCGTGAGCTGCAACGGGAGTTTGGCCTGTGGGATTGTATCAGGAGCCCATTACTTTGGGGAAGAAGAGGAGGTATATGAAAGAAAGCAGATATTCCCAGTGTGGAATATCTGGTAAAATAATTACCAGTCTGGCTGTGCTTTCCCTTCCCTGGACCCAAACTCTGAGGTGCTCCCACGTGCTGGGATTTTTATGGAGACAAGGAGCAGAATATAGACCTTGAGTTGCACTGACACCCAGGGTAAATTCATTCTGTAGTGACCTTCTCTAGCCCTGATTTTTTAGTAGTGATTTTTTGGCAGTGCTGGCTTGTTGCATCAATCATTGCTGGCTAGAGGCTGTTGGGAGGGACATGACCTGTGATACAAGTGTGAGATCTGAGTGCTTAGTCTGGTCACTAAGATGGAAATGAGCCCTCTAGGAGCATGTTCAATTGTGTGGTGTGCAGATCAGTGGTGTTTCTGGGCAAAACTTGGCATGAGGGAATGTCTGATAATTCCTTTGTTTCCCTTTAGTGCCCCTTGCCTACAGCTTCTGTCGGATCCATTGCTGCACGATACCTGGAAGATGAAGAAGTGAGATCCCAGCACATCCTGGAGTGCCTAAATGCTCACATTGAGGAACTGAAAAAAGAGAGTGCAAAGATAGTGAGACGATTTGAACACCAGGAGTAACGTTTCTTGTGGAACTGGAATGCTGGTTTCCTTACGTGGTTCCACACCGTGACTGGGAAGGTGCCTACATCCAGTTGGGATTGGAGCCTGAGTGAGAGGCCACGTGTTCCCCTTGGAGCTGAATCAGCAGGGTGGGAGTTGAGGAAAAGGAACTCCTGTCTATCTGCTTGCTCTGATGAGAGGTGTTATACCACAAACATTTTAGTCAGCTTGCCATAGGTCAGAGACCTGCATCAGAGCTATGTGCTCACTCACAAAGATTATGGTGTTTTTTAAAAGCAAACTGTTTTCTAGTTTTTATGTGAACTATTTAAAGTATATTTTATACTTGTAAAAACACTGAAATAAATCAGAATGGCAAACGCCTATTTTCTTATTCATACAAATACACAAAATGACTCTTGTGGGTTATCTTCCCTTCTCATCAGGAGCTTGGATCAACACCTTTTCCATCACAGCATAGCTGTGTTCTTCACAAAACAAGGAATGAAATTCCTCATTCTTTTAGGCTATCTGCATTTTTTCCAGTTAATTTTCCCTTAGTGGAATTTCTTATTTCCTGGTTCTTGCAGCTTCTGCCCTTTATAATTTGTGTAGTATCTAGTGTCTTTATCTTGAGGTGCTTGAAGTACTGCAGAATATCTGAGGAATGAGTGCCTGAATTCTGGATGTGGTCATGGCTCTTGGAGAAGAGAACTGGGAATGAGAAATGGCACTGGATGGGCGGAGAACCCACAAGCAGGTGAGGTTCATCCACATGTCATTGCAGCTGCCATGTGAGCTGGTGCCAGCCTGAATCTGGACAGTCCAGGGGAACTGCTGCATCAAAATGCATCTGTGACCACTTTTGGGGAAAATATTCAGTCTTTTCTCAAGGAAAGGAAGTTGTTACTTAGTGAATTATTAGTAATTAGGACTTATTTCCTATGGACTTGTTTTCTTTTGGGGGTCTCTGCAGTTCACCTGTGGCTGAGTCTTCATGGCCATTGTACAGACAAACCTTGGGATGAGGGCATTCTATGTCCACAAGTTTCCTGTTCCTTTCCATCAGCTTCACACTGTATTAGAGCAGCTTAATTCTGTGCAGGGACAGGAAATCAAAAGCACCACATGTACTGGGAGCCCAACCATTGTGTCAGACAGGTGAGTTCAGCCAAGGGGATGCATGGCTGCAGACTGGGCCTGCACTTGGGCATGGACCTCTGCATCCCAGAGTTTAGAAATGTTCCAATCCAAAAAGTCCTTGTATTTTTGCTTTCTTGTGGAGCTCTTTGCACAAGGATAAAACCTTCAAATCCATTCTGGGTTCTCATTGTGCAGCCTTCATAATGTGCTGAACTGGCCCCACCTGGGGCTGGACTGTGGTTGTGTTCTGCACAAAGTCATCACTGGCCTTGGATCCTCTGTGGGGCTGTCTATGGGGTTTCTGGAACATCCACCATGTCTGTCCAGATCTCAAATAAGGACTTGTTGGGTGTGGAGCATTTTGATAAAATCTGAACAGCAGAATACACCAAACTCTTTCCTCTTTACAGATGAACCTATAGGTGCACTGAGTGTTTGATATGCCAGAACCCTAAGGGATCCCTTACAACCTCCAGTGAGGCTGCCGATTTAGTTTTTGAAATGATACCTTGCAAATAGTATTGTATTTCCTGAAGATTTGTTAAGTTAGGTACTGGGTGTTGCATCGTGCTGTTGCTGTTTTCAGAAGTTCAGGAGACATTTTGCCTTGTTTCTGATGTGCTCTTCCGTATCCCTGCAGAGATACTTGCCAGTTCATGTTGGCAGAAGGGAAGAGTGAACTGAAGATGATCCATTTGTTTAATTAGCAGGTATAATCCTACAGTTTTATCAATTACTAATACCTGTAATAAGCAGCTTCATTCAGGGAGTAGACTTTGAACTAACTTTAGATAAAGTAGCATCTGCAGCAGGGGAACTGCTGAGTTACTTCCCTGTGTTGGTGTGTGTGTGCTCTGCCTTTCCCACCTTCTCTCATTGCAGATGCCCCGAGATAACTGAAAAGTCTGTTCCAGAGCTGTTCTCCTGGTGTTGGAACCTTGTTTGTGCTGAAGAATGTGCATTTTTTGTGAGGGGGAGGAGAAGAAACCATTTTTATCCTGGAGGGAGATGTCACAGCAAGTGCAGACTTCTGAGGTGCTTTTATCTGGGGCTGCAGGGTTTCTCAGGCCTTCTCTGCCTTTGCAGCGTCAAATCTCCCTTGGAATAATCATCTGGCCCTGGAAGCTTTATAATTAATGTAGCTGGAGAGGGGGGTTTGTGTCTATGAACTTATGCCTTCGATAGCACTAAAGAATTTCTTGCACACTTGCAGGGCAGAACCAATATTTGTTTTCTGTTTGAGACAAAAGTGTGGAACTTTATTTGCAGCGCTTCCTTCATCTGTAGAGTGAGAAGCTGTGCAAGCTTCATCTGTCTTTAGTGTGTTACAGATGTACTGCTGTGGGTGTGACAGTGCTTGGGGTCACTCTTGAGGGGTTAAAGAATGTAGATGTGTGGAATTGCAGGTGCCTGGGTTTTGCAGAGTTGGGTTGCAGGAACAGGGAATACTGAGGTTGTGCTAAGTATGGGGCAATAGTACATAAATTGTCCTCTCTCTTGGGATAAGTGTTCTCCCTGCCATCTTGAGACAGAAATAGAGCATATGGGCTTAGAGAGAGCGCTTGTGGAAGTGAGTCTTTGATACAAGGAGCAGGGACTGCATTCATAGCGGAGAGGCTTTACCAAAGAGTCTGTTTGTGTGCTTGTGCCTATTTGTGTACATATAAGTGAACATCAAATGTGTGGTTCCATGAAGAGTGTCTGTACTTTGGTATCCTTGACCCCATTCTGTGGAAGAAGTTGTTTTCTTTAGTTACTAAGCTCTCCGGGATGCTTCCTTATCCTGCCATTGTAAGAAGTGACGTATTTGACTGGATCAGCTTGACCTGTGAAATGAAAACTACTGCAGTGTGTCCTCCTTGATCTGAAAAGTGGGATCTGAGAAAAAAGAACCCTTCTGCCAGGCACCAAAATAAACCAGGGCTGTCTGTGCTGACAGACAATACTTACTTTAGCCTTCAAGGTCCTTAGGCAAACAAAAGATCCCGGAGTCTGCCTTGCATCTGTGCTGCTCAGTCTGTGCTGATGCCCAGGGAGCGGGTGCCTGCTGGGCTCCATGGCTTGTTAGTGTTCCTGCAGGGAGGAGCTGCTGCCACCAGTTTTTGAGGGCAAAGACACTGAGCTGTTTAGGGAAGGACTTAAAACCTGCTTTTATGTTGCATATGGTGCCTCTTGTCACCAAGTACAAAAAGATCCCAAAGCTTTGCTCACTCCCAGCTTACCCTGGGGTAAGCCCTGTTAGCTTACATGTTGCGTTTATGCTTGCAAGCTCCTGTCTGCAGCAGCCTGCATCCTCACAGAGGCTGCTGATCCTGGAATCCAGCTGCAGGTATGTAACCTGCTTAAATGGGAGCTCTGCCGTGGGTGCTGGGGTCAAAGGAGTAAGGTAGGAGTAGGCCTGCTACAGGTGGGCAGCCCTGTGAGTAATTCCTGCCACTCAGTCACTGAGGAGGGAATGTAGGAATAACCCACCTCTTTTGTGTGGAAAATACAGCAGCTTTGGGAAGAGAATTCATATTGTTTGGTCAATGAAACAGAGTGCAAAAACATAACAGGTTTATTTTCAATTCAAACTCAAACAAAATACCTCTTGGATCATGCTAACGCTCACAGGCATCTGAATCAGTTATGAAAATGTTGCTCCATCTCAGGATGTGCAGCTGTGGTGGGATTCAGTAGAAGCCTCCTTTGCCTCGTGCATGGAGATGTTTTCCAAGAGTACAGCACCAAATGGTTTGTTACATGATAATAATGTCACTCATCCTGTTGTCCCACGTAACCTCGTCAGTTTATAGTTGCAGTATCGCGTAGACAGGTTGCAGGAAGGAGTGATTTCTGAGAACTTTATTCTCATTTTTACTGTCATTTTGGTTATAGAAACACCCATAGGCTTCAGATATAATTACAGCAGAAAAAGTGTCTACAATACTCTAATATAAAAAGGTAAAAATGATTTTGTTTATTGTATTTAAGAGTCAGTGTAAAAAGTATTTTCCAGTATTATTGAAATCTGTAAGACAGTGAAGTGCACAAGGAAACTTCATGTTGTATCTTTTTCCTAAGTCTTCTCTCTCCTTGGATGTATTTCTCACTTGACTACAGTTATACAGAAACTTGGTTTAAATCTCCTGAAGTTCCTCATGTCCAATGCTGCTGCTCAAAACCAGGGTGCACTTTCTTTATCCTGCCTGCCCCATCACTAGGTGAATTCTTGGAGTAGCCCTCATAAGACTTTTCTTATGGTCCATAACTTGGAAACCAGCAATCCCTGCTGGCACAGAATGCCCTGCAGACAGTCAGTTGTTTTCTTCTAAATATTTGTCTGGACAGTGTTACTGAAATGTAGGTGAGGGTTTTATCTCATGTCTTCCACTGCTGCTCCTTTTTTAAACAGGATTTTCTGCTTCCTTGACCATCTTTGAGCCCGTGGTCTGGCAAAAGCCTGCAAGTGTTGTCCTGCATTTGTTGAAAGAACAGATTTGGTTGAGAGAATGAGCAATCTCCTAAAGCTGTGCTGGTTTGGGGCACATTGGGGAGGTTGGTTCATGCAGGTGAGTGAAAGAACAAGGAGTGGGTGTTACTGGGTCTCAACTTCATATTTGAGGACCTGAGAGTAGAAGCTGTGGTTGGCATTCTCATGCACCATCACAAACACCTCTCTGCACCCCGAGGTGTTGCAGGTTCCCTCCCAGCAGCCCTTCTTCTGGGTGAGAGGGTAGGTGTTCTCAGCCTGGACCAGCACCTTGGCAACGCCGTGCATTTTGAGTTTGAACTGGACGTTGCGGTTGGCGGGCAGCAGGCCCGAGAGCGGCTCCAGGATCTCGTAGTCTTGCAGCCACTTGCTGTAGCTCCGGGGAAAGGCTGGCCACTTCACCTCCGTGTTTAGGCACCTGATGAGGTAGTTGAAGATGTAGTCGTAATTACCAGGGTCCAACTTCTTCTTGGAGTAGATTTTGAGAACGAAGTTCCCCGCGTGCGGGAGATGGACCTTCAGCTCGATCTGGTTTCCGCGGTGGATCTGCAGCACGTGCCGCCTGCCCATGTCCTCCGTGAGGCTGCTGCCGTCGGTGTGCAGCGAGGTCAGGACGCTGATGTCCTTGCCCAGGGTGAAGGTGAGGGAGCAGCGCCCGTCGTTGGTGTGCAGGATGGGCTCGCGGTGTGACGGCTGCAGGAAGCCCTGGCGCTCTGAGAACCAGCTGGGCCCAACGGGCTGGTGCAGGTCCTTG